CCCACTCCAAATTTTAGCCACCCATTTTTTCATTTATGTCCCTCCACCTTACACATCTCCATGACCCATCAGTCCACAATCCCATGATCCATCAGCCTATTATCCTCATGACCCAGCCGTGTCTCACTCTTTCATTTTTTTTTAATATTATTATTATTATTTTATTATTATTATTATTATTATTATTATTATTATTATTATTATTATTATTATTATTATTATTATTATTATTATTATTATTATTATTATTATTATTATTATTTTTATTATTATTTTTAATTTTTTTTTAAGTTTTTGTTAATTTTTTTTTCGTTTTTTTAACTTTTTTTCTCTATCAGATATGTTAATCGACTATGAAGCATATTAAATCGACTATGACGAACTATAGTCGATTAAGAAACCGACTACTAAAAATAACAAATCACAACTACAATAATGCAAACTCAACTATATTTTACAAAAACAAACAATATAAAAAAAATTATGCTCCCTCTATTCCACAATAACGGTCTCTTTTTAAAATCATTTTTGTTCCATTTGATCTGTCACTTTACATTTCCAATACTGCCTTAAATGCATTTTTTTCTGTTTTAACCTCATTAAGTATACTCTAAGCATTAATTATCTCTTATAAATAATTAATGATAAAGGTTGTTTTAATCATTTTTATGTATTTTTCCTAAAATCAAGACACATTTATTGAGTTTCTTAATCTTTGTGAAGATTGAAAAGTGACACTTATTTAGGAACGAAGGGAGTAATTGATTTATACAACTGGAATCAATAAAAAAAAAAAATTAAAAATTGGAGTCAAGGAAGCATATTAATCGACTATGATGTGAAGCATAGTCGATTAAGAATCTGCTACTAAAAATAACAAATCACAACTGCGAAAAAATGCAAAATCAACTATATATTACAAAAACAAAAAATATACAAACATTATAAATGATTTATACAATTGGAATCAATAAACAAAAAAACCAAAAAAAATAAAAAAAATTGGAGTCGATGAACCTTAATCGACTACCAGAGCATAGTCAATTAGCTTAATCGACTATGAACATGTACATAGCCGATTAATGTTTCAGCCTGCGCGAAATTCTCTTTAGGCGCCGTCATTCGCCCAATCCACCAGGCCAAAAAACCCTAAATCTGTCTCCCCATCGTTACCACACCGCCGCCACAACACACCATCACCACCTTACTTTGACATTAATCCCGTGAAATATAAATTAGAGACTTGTGCATAAATTCAAAAAGAAGGTGGTGATGGTAGTTTCCTTGTGCAATTAAAATTCCTTTACTGCGCGTCTACGCCTTCTCGGACGGCAGTCTGAGATTATGTACTAAAACTCGGATGACCGTCTCAATTCCAGAGACTGCCTTTGTTTCTCGGACGGCCGTCTGAGATTTAAGTGTAATTCTCAGACGGCCGTCTGGGCTTTAATTCTTCAGTTTTTTGAATTCTTCATTTTCGCCCATTTTCTCCAAAATTGCAGTTTTTACCCCATACTTATCCAATTATTCTATTTGTACCTACAATACAATAAATCAATATTTTAAGCACCAACTATCATTAAAACATACCAAGAGCTCCAATTAAAAGGTACGATGAAGTGTAAAAATATACACTTAACAATAGCTAGGGGGTATGTAAAATAAGCCCTTGTAATTCCAATTTCGATCGGATTTTAGTTCCAAATATTTCTATGACTTTTCGAAATATCTATATATAATATAAAAAGAGGATCTATGCCCTCAATGATTGACATGTGGCGAATGATGATGTCATTTGTCAAAATTGCTTAATTGGAGTTCAATTGATTAGGTGGATTCTGCAATTGATTATGTGGTATTTTTATTTATGGATGTTTTTAAGTTTTTTCCTATTTTACATTTACACAATCATTTAATAATTACCACATGTATATATATTATTTCCAAAGTTAATATTTTATAAATTCGAAATAAAAAAATCTTATTTATATTTTCAGTATTTCAAAATATATTTATTCAAATAAATTCATGAAACTCAATTGTTTTACGAATATTCAAATAATTTTCATAAAAAAAATATTTTTTTAAATACTAAAATATTAAAATAAAGGAATATGTTGTTGTTGTTGTTTTTTTTTCAATATTTTAGAATATTCGAATATCCATTCCATTAAAAATAATAATAAAAAAATGTTTTAGTTTTTAATTGAAGTATTTAATAAATATACAGTATTTTTTTATATAATTTTTATTATACCATATTTCAAATTAAAAATAATTATATTATTTAATAAATATGCAATGCACGGTGGATTAATTCTAAATGCAGTAGTTGGTTGTATATTTGGAAAACACTATTTAATATATAATATGGTCTGAACTATAAAACGGATTATGCATTATATTTATTAATTATTATTTCAAATAAAATATCAAATCACCAATATAAAGGAATCTTTAATATTCCAAGATTCCATCATATCATCTTTGATTGATTTAATTTATACTTTAATTCAAAATTGAATGGTAAAAAATAAAAATCGTATCTTCATATTTAATGTCTTTATATTGCAAGATTTTTTTCCACAAGTTATTTTTTTTTTGGTTGTTTCCTTTATTTGTTTGATTTGATTTCATTTACTAATATATAAATCTTTTGAATTTTTAAATTTTCCATAGAATTAAGTTCATTTTCAATACTATATAAACCCCTCAATGTTCATTTCATTTTTTTCTACCACCATTGGATTACAAAGTGCACAATGTTCGTATTATACAGTTTCATATTACATTTTTTTATCATTTCTTATAAATTATTATAAGTATATATGCATAGTTTTATATTCATAATTAATTTTATATGTACATATTAGTACTATTTGTATTTCTTTCTCTTGGGTTTTAATTTTAATATACTTTTTTAATTGTACTTATTGAACTCGAGTATGTACTTATTGAACACACTTCTTATTTTTGTTTGTCAATTTATTTATAATATGTTAGTATTTATAAATAATATCGAATTCATTTGTTTTATTTCTTAACAGCGGTAATAAGATTAGATGCATGTCGTGGGAGAAATATGCTGAGCAAGTGATTGAAACTGTACTAGATATTAATGAAGGACCATATATTGCCGTGTTACAATACGCAACCGCGCAAATGCGATATGGTATTCTTCATATTTTTACTTGCTTTAAACATTGTATTGAATTCTTCATATTTTTACTTGCTTTAAACATTGAATCGAATACATTTGTACTATACGTTAGGATTTAATTTAATCATTTTTCAGGTGACATTGAGGTCTCCAATACATTGCATTCTTCCCGGTTTATGATAAATGCAAACATTGACGAAATCAATGACTACAAATCAAGGTTTGTTTAAACATAAATCTCTGTGTATATTTTTTATTTTATATAAATCCACCTTATTAATCCAACCTTGAGTGTTTTTACAGACTCACTCAAAGCGAGCCAGATAGTTGTCGAGTCGTAAGTCAAATGTCATCAAATTCTTTGTACTCATATGAGGACGACTTTGTTCATAAGTCTATTAGAAAAACTTAGGATGACTTAAATGAATCGCCTGAGGTATTCCTAATGTGTTTCATAATTTTCTATGCACATATATAATTTTCAAACTTGAACTATATATTTTAATGTATTATCGTATTAAATTCTAGATTGGCACATGCATTGTATTGGCAACGATCACAAATTTGGTGAAAAAATCAAAGTGGTGGTTTTATAGCTGCCTGAATACGAAGTGTAAGAAATCCGTTGAGAAGGATTTGAAGATGTGGTATTGTGTTCATTGTGATAAGAAATATCATTCGGCTAACCCCATGTACGTACTATTTATTTTTATTTATTTTATAATTAAAATCAATTTCTGTTTGTTAATTACTACTGACATTTAAATATATTAAATTAAAAATTTATGTAGTACAAGGATTTTAAAAATAGCTAACATTACAACTATTCCAAAATTGTTATAGATTACTATAATCGTGTTAATATATTGTACTATTGCTTATAGGTACAAAATTGAGTTCATTGTCATGGATGACACAAATACCGCAACATTGATAGTATTTGGAAAAGATGCAGAAATGATGTTGGATCTTTCTGTCGATGCATTAATTCAGCCTATACACGATAGGGTAAAAGTCAATAAGCGTTCGTGATTTTTTTTTAATGTTCGTAGGTACATTTATTTAAACTTATTTTCCGTTACTAATTAGGGAGAAGATGATTTCGAATATCCAAAGGAACTTGATGCTCTGGTGATGTGATTGGGATCACATCATATGATACGAACCACGCCAACACCGTGACGAGACCCGGTATCAATACTTCGGATTTCAAATCCTGGACCGTCCAAAGAAGGATTCAATGGGGTGGAACCTCGACCCATTGCCTATAAAGAGGCAAGAACCTTGGTATGCGAAGACGCCACAATCAATTGCGGAAGATTGATTGATAAGTCAGGGGCGAACGCCACGGAGAACAACTCCGATAAGTTCATTTAATGGTTCTTGAAGAACCGAAGAGACACACTCTTAATCAAAATGATTTCAATACATTGTTGTGTGTTTATTCATACAAGCTAATCCCTTTATATAGGGTACAATCTTCTCTAATCTATAAAAATAAAATACTAAAATGAAAATTCTAATCAATCAATCTAATCAGCAATAAATTATATAATCAAATCAACCTTAATTGATACCAAACCTCTTAAATCTGATTGCATCAATTAGAGCATATAAAGATTGATATCTTTGTAATTGATGTCTCTTAAATCTGACTTGATCTCATTTGAAATGTTGATAAACTTGTGCTGGATTTGGACTCAAGTTGGGCCTCAATGCTTGAATAAGTCCACTTCATGCTTCTTATGTTTCAACCTACAATATATATAACTGCCCGAAAACCTTTGAAATCCCTAATTTCTTGATGTGATTGGGATCACATCATCTGGTTGATAGAATGATGTTGTTCAAACTTAACGTTGTGGAAAAGAATGTACACGATCCAGCAAATTCAACATACCGTATTAAAAAAGTTTGTTTTGATGACTCTGTCATTACTGCATTTACGGAACATTATAAATTGAATGAGGTATGTACATTTGATTAATTTGCATTATTACTTATTGTTTTTTTAATCACTATTTAATATAATTTTTTTCTTTTATTTACGTAGAATCATAACAACGGTGGACATTCCCCAAGTGTAAATGATTATAATGGTGGTCCTACTATATCGTCAAAGGTAAATTAAACATGTTCTCATTCCATATTCAAAAGGGTCTAGAAAATCGATACGTAGTCAATATGTTTATTAAAAACATTGTCTTTTATGCTAGGATTTCTCTTCATTGTCGGAGAATAATGATTGTTAAGTACTTTATGTTACTCCATCGTCAAAGCGACCGGGCGATAGTGTTCTCGAAAAGGTAGACGACGATCCAACACTGCAGCACTCAACCAGCAAATTGATAAAAAAAATTAAGCTAGAGAAAATGGAGTAGTTTCATTAGTCATACTTAATTTTTCTTTTTTTAGTTTTCATGTTTGATTTGTTATTTTAGTTTGAACAATATGTTTTTTTTTCATTCCGTGCCATTTAAATTTGTTATTTTAGTTTGAACAATATGTTTTTTTTCCATTCCGGATATTGGAACGTTCTAAGTTTTAATGTTTTGCAAGTTGTGTTTTCATATATTGGATCATTTAGATTATACTATTTTTTTTATATATTTTACTTTCTCATAATAATGCATATAATTGCTATTGTCACATGTTTTTATACGTAACATTTTTTAGTTTTTTGTTCAATTTGTTATGCACATAATAATGGTCTTTTAAAAAAAAAAAGATATTTTTTAGTTTTCTTTTCTTTTATTGTTCATAACTCATTTTACTTTTTAATTACTATAAGTTAAATTTAATAATGTGTACCATATAGTACTTAATTATATTACCCCCTATTAAATATAGTAATTACATAAAATACTAAATATATTAAAAAACAAATTCCAAAATTACGTCACCCATAAGTTACTGCCAAAGTTATTCCAAAATTCAACATTATTCCAAAAAATATTAAATAATGTTGATATATAGATATAGATATATATATATATATATATATATATATATATATATATATAGATATATATATATATATATATATATATATATATATATATATATATATATATATCACCCAATTCAATACCAAGGCAATATTTAATACATATGGAAATATAATCTATAATACATGGTCCATAATATATCACAATATATCATATAACATGAGTAATTTGTAGTATATTATAGAAAAAAATCTATTTTAATAGTAACAAAATATTTGATAAATCAATCATAATTACATGCCTAAAAATTAAGTTGTGTATGAAAAAATATAAATGTGCATCTAACAAACAAACGTGTATTATGTTTTTGATAAAGAATTGTCATCACTGATCTTGAGGTAATAAACGTGTCAAACCATTTAAGAGTTTACAATATGTATATGGTGCCATAAGTAATATTTAAATGTGTTGTGTGTTTTCAAACAACAATTATCAATTGTATCTGTTATTTATTATTATTTTTTTTTTTATATTTTGCAAATACATATTTCATATTTTTGGTTATAATGCTTCAAATTAATTTTATATTCAATATGTTCGTTTATGCGTTTCAATATTTATAGGTTGTTGCTGTATAATCATGGATAAGAAACGCACTTCTCGAAAATTACTAAAATCGTGTAATCTATATGATGTTCCTATAGGTAAGCTGGGTTTCAAGAATAATATGTTTCAATATTTCACAGTTTGATATCTAGCTGTTGTTAAATAAATTATATTTTTATTAATATTTTTCATGTGTTGAACGGAATTTCAGGTTACTCAATCGAGGAATTTGATGCTAATATTGTACAAAATTCAGTGGGTCATGTTACATTTGCGCATACAAGATCACTTCATGATGTGTCTATATGTGAGACGTTTTATTACTCCGGAATATTTTATAACTTGATTTTAACAACAAAAGATATTTATAATTATACGTGTTTGTTTTGTCTTCGTTCTTTTTTTTTTTTTTCTTTTCATGTACTGCAGCTGAAGTTCAATCAAACAACATGGACGATGTAAGGTCTGCATCCGTGAGAAGAAAGGGTGTTTTAAAGGAAAATGAAGTTTCAAGGAAGTTTCATATAAAAGAGAATGATAATGGTACGTAAATTTTCGTATGATATTCTTTTTATATCCTATGAGTTATATCGTATGAATATTTTATTTTTTAATAGGTCTTAAGTGTTCAATACAAGATATTGCCAATGTAAAAGGGAAGGGAATTCCCCCTGATTCAATAGGCATGCAACGTGACCCGTTTAGTTGGAACTCGAATATTACTCCAACCCCAATGAGCTGTGTTCTGACTGATATATCTAATGGTTAGTGTTACACATAAATGACAATAGCAGTAACCAAGTATATAAGTATAATTCTATAAATATGTTTAAAAAAACACATTATATGATTGAAAATTTAATTAATAAATCACTAAAATATTTTTTCATTTTTAATCCAGCTCCGGTTCAAGACGTACTTGAATACAAATCTTCACAATCGTTGAGGAAAGAATACATTCAAAATAAGAGGACAACTCAAAAAACACATGGTAAATCATCAGTGGATTGTTTTGTTTTGTTTTTCTTCGTTGATGACATATACATGTTTACTATATAGTATAAAAACGATTTTGGCAGTTACGTTTTACATTTTTCAATTGCAGGTTTTTCAATTCCCTCAACAGACAAGAAACATCAGCAACAACCCAATAGTACAAAAAAATCGTTATATATACCCAATATCTACATATTTACATTTTAATTATAAATTAAGAATTATTTATGTTACTCACATCTTAATTGAATATGTTGTGCAGCTGTTGACTACATTATTAATAACAAGACTTTTCCAAAGTTGAAAAGAAAAATGCCAATACATGGTGATTGCAGTGGTATGTTTGACAATTTGTAAATTATTACAATGAATCCATACGAATATTTATATATACGTATTTATGATATATCGTTGTATGCTAACTAGGTTATACGGCTGATTCGGAGAATATTGATCCAAATAGCAGCGGAATTTCAAATAATCCATCAAATACATGAAGCGAATCGCACATAAGGTACGTGACGAATAGGTGATTCTGTTAGTTTTGAATTTACACACATTTGTTTAGTCATGTAAATATGGTCATAAAATAATCATTATTAATTTGTGGTGAAATTATCATAATTTCAGTAATTCCTTACGCATTGGAAAGAGGGTATCAAAGAGTCAGAAAATTATAAATTCTGTGGCACGTGGTTTGGTGTTGGAATCTGCACCAACTATGTTGATTGACGAGGATTTAAGTACAATACAAGATATTAGTTAAGATAGTGGAGGTAAATATATAATTATAATTTGTCAATACTATCCATCAACCATTGTTTAGTAGTAAGTCTATATGGGAATTAAAATTGTCGTTGTCATAATGTTTTTGTTTTTGTAGATTCGGAATATGTTTCAAATGATGACAACAGCGATGATTCTGCTGATTATGATGGTATGCAGTTTTGTTTTTTAATTCAAATATTTTTTTCTACATTAGTCTTTCGTTCACAAATTCTTCTAATTAATTTTATACATTGATAAATTTTCATAGATTACGACGATCTTGGTGATCAAAGTTGCGTTTGTCAATCATGTGGTGCGATTATGTGGTATGGCGAGAGACTTGCCAGACACTATGAAACAGAATCGCCAAAATTTTCACTATGTTGCATGAACGGTAAAGTCCAGCTGCCCAAATTGAAGGATCCTCCAACTATACTATCAAGTCTCTTATTCAGTAGGGATAGACGCAGTAGGAACTTCCAAGATAATATAAGATCGTACAATATGATGTTTTCTTTCACCTCTCTGGGGGCAAAATACAGACAGTTGTCAACAACAGTCCCGGTCCGTACACTTTTGTTTTACACGGTCAAAATTATCATTTGTTGGGTAGTTTATTACCTGAGGAGGGTACCACGCCGAAGTTTGCACAACTTTATATATTCGACACAGAGAATGAAGTTCAAAATCGAATTGCTGCTGTAAGGTAAAAAATGCATATCTTTTAATATATATATTTCAAATTTATCATTTGTTATAATGGCCTCTAATTATTACTCTGTTATATTTCAGATCTGGAAACAATTCTAATAATTTAGATCTGTCAATAGAGTCTTTGATAAAAGATATGATTGATGTGTCGAACGTACTTGCTAGGTCATACAGAGTTGCACGCGATCGTATTGCTGCAGATGGAAATAGAGGTGTAAAATTAAGACTGGTTAAGAGCCGAAGTACTGATGGTTGGACATATAATCTACCAAATGCCAGTGAAATTGCAGCGCTCATTGTTGGCGACTTCGATAACCAGGAGGGTGTAAGGGACATTGTGGTCGAAACGCAGTCTAAGAGGCTTCAGCGCATTAGTGAACTACACCCACTTTATCCACCGTTACAGTACCGCTTGATTTTTCCTTACGGTGAAGATGGGTATAGAGATGATATTCCTTTGAGAGAGTCTTCATCAAATAGTAGCCGGAAACGAAGGTGCGTGAGCATGTGAGAATGGTTTGCATACAGGATGCAAAAAAGGAATGGAGAGAGTCAAGTATTGTTGAACTCGAAAAAACTATATCAACAGTTTCAAGTTGATGGCTTTTCAATGATAGAATCTCAACGACTGAATTTCATTAGATTTAATCAGGACAAGCTTAGGGTTGACATGTATAAGGGACTTCGGAAAATGATTGTCAAGGGTGACGGTGAAGGCACGTCTGCTGGAATGTGCATAGTTCTTCCATCGACATTTACAAACGGTCCCAGATATATGTTTAACAACTTCATGGACGCCCTCCAGATATGCAATTGGATTGGATTTCCATCGCTTTTTATAACAATAACATGCAATCCCAAGTGGCCAGAAATACAAAGGGTGTTGAGAGATACGAATCTGCGTCCCGAAGATCGACCTGATATTCTTTGTCGCGTGTTCAAGATGAAACTGGACAGTCTGATCTCAGATTTTAAAAAAGGGCATATTTTCGGACGGATAAGATCATGTAACTACCACATTCTCAAAAAATTATTTAAAACTTCATATGACATGAATGCATAAAATTATTTTATTTTTATAAAATATATAATTGTTCCTATCAAACTTTATTATTTTTAATATATTATTTCATTTCAATATCCAGACGTCTGCACTATTGAGTTCCAAAAACGTGGTTTGCCGCATGCGCACATCCTTCTTTGGTTGCATAACGACGATAAGCCAAAATGTTCGGAAGATATTGATCGAATAACATGTGCCGAAATACCCGATAAGACTTGCGACCGAAAAATGTATAAGTTGGTAAAAAAATACATGATCCATGGACCATGCGGGCATGCGAACATGAATTCTCCCTGCATGAATGATGGTATTTGCACCAAGCGCTTTCCAAAGATATTTTTGCAACGTACTGAGGCTGACGATGAAGGATACCATTCGTATAGAAGAAGGGAAGACGGCCGGACAGTAACGAAGAAGAAAACAATATTGGACAATGGGTATGTCGTTCCTTACAACCGTGCTCTACTGTTGAAATACATCGAGCTCTGTAACCAGAACAAACCAATAAAGTATCTTTTCAAATATGTCAACAAGGGTAATGATCGAGTTACAGCTGCCTTTTATCAGTCACGTAATACCAATGACGGTGAACAAATACGCGATGAGATAAAAATGTACTACGACTGCAGGTATATTTCCGACTTATGCGGTTACTTATCTTAATGTTCATTCGTGTATATATTCGTTTATTTCCACAATTTATTTACTTCAACGTGTATATATTGGATTTTCTTATATATATTTTTAAAATATTTTTTCAGGTACTTATCTGCATGCGAGGCCAGTTGGAGGTTGTTTGGGTTTGATATTCATTACAGAGACCCCCCCCGGTGATTCGTTTGAGCTTCCACCTACCTAATTGTCAAATGGTTGTGTATCACGAAAATCAACATTTGCAGAACGTAGTCAATAGACCGTCTGCCAAACAAAGTATGTTCTTAGCTTGGTTTGAGGCAAACAAGCGGTTTCCGGAAGCCAGAACAATCAAGTATGCGGATTTCCCACAGCACTTCGTTTACTCAAACGAGTCTATGTCATGGGAGCCACGAAAAAAAGGATTTTCAATCGGAAGACTTAATAATGTTCCCCCAGGGAAGGGAGAAGACTACTATCTGAGGTTGTTGCTTAATATTCAAGCTGGTTGCACAAGCTATGAAGAACTCAGAAGCATGAATATGAAGGTCTACGATACCTTTAGGGACGCATGCTACGTATTAGGTTTGTTCCAGGATGACAAAGAGTACATTGACGACATAAAGGAAGTAAGCAGATGGGCGAGCGCATACTGCACAAGATTACTGTTCGCTATTATGTTATTGGCAAATAATTTGAGCAGGCCTGAGTATGTATGGGAGAAATGTTGGTCGGAGTTATCTGATGACATGAATTACAGACACCAAAAGCGTCATAATAATCCAGGTATATATCTAATTTAAAAACCTTAGTCCATATACGATAATTGTCGTACCGATATAATTATTATTTGTATCTTTATAATTTGTGCAGCGTTAACCTTATCAGAGGATGACTTGAAGAATTACGCCCTCATTGAGATTGAGAAAATACTGCAGAGCAATGGTAAGAGTTTACGTAATTATATTGCAGAGCAATGGTGAGAAAATATTGCAGAGCAATGGTATTGCTTCATTGCTCCTTCCGGGTGGTAGAACAACACATTCTAGATTTGGACTCCCGATAATTGTGCATGAGAGCTCCACTTGCAGCATCAAACAACAAAGTCCTCAAGCAGATCTGTTGATTGAAGCAAAGCTTATTATATGGGATGAGGCCCCCATGATGCATAGGTTTTGTTTTGAAGCATTAGACAGAACCATGCGATCGATTTTGAATTCTGAAAAACCTTTTGGTGGTAAGGTTATCGTACTTGGTGGTGACTTTAGACAGATATTACCTGTTGTACTTAAAGCATCGAGGCAAGACATCGTACATGCTACGATCAATTCATCACCATTGTGGAGAGAATGTCGTGTCACGAGGTTGCATAAAAATATGAGGCTTCAGTTGAATTCATCTTCATCTAGCGAAGATGAAATAAGGGAATTTGCAGAATGGATTCTGAGAATTGGAAACGGAGAAGCTGGAGACTACAATGATGGTGAGGCCTCGATTGAAATTCCTGAGGACATGCTGATTCGAGAATCAGAGGATGCTTTTTCAGAGCTACTGCAGTTTGTGTATTCGGATTTGTTGAATAACATTGCCAATCATGATTTCATTCAAGGGAGGGCCATTCTGGGGCCTACAAATGAGAGTGTTATATATGTGAACGATTATATGTCGTCACTTATTGAAGAACTGGAAAAGGTTTACCTGAGCTCTGACAGTCTGTGCATGGACGAAGCAGATTCCGAGATTAATGCAGAAATTTATTCCACCGAATTTCTCAATACAATATCGTGCTCCGGTCTGCCGCCGCATGAGCTAAAATTAAAGAAAGGAGTTCCCGTCATGCTCATTAGGTATATCGATCAAGCAAGAGGTTTATGCAATGGAACTCGTCTCCAAGTTGAAAGACTGGGCATGCATGTAATTAGTTGCAAAGTATTATCCGGTAAGAATGTTGGCGACATGGTATTTATTCCTCGGATGACTTTGATACCTTTGAATTCCACATTGCAAGTTAAATTTCAAAGAGTCAGTATCCGGTGATTATATCATTTGCCATGACAATCAACAAAAGTCAAGGGCAAACTCTCTCGCACGTTGGATTGTACCTTCCAAGGCCTGTTTTCAGTCACGGTCAATTGTATGTAGCGTTGTCTCGAATGAAGAGTAGATCTGGAATAAAGATTTTAATAAAGGGGGAATCCGGTGAGTTGTCCAGTGTTACTAGCAACGTCGTACAAAGAAGTATTCGAAAGAATATAAAGGTACACATTGACAAACACATATATTAGTTTTATTTATGTTTAACATTGTTTTTTTTCTCAATATGCTCACATATATTTATTTATATATATATATATATATATATATATATATATATATATATATATATATATATATATATAAGTATTCTTTATCTACGTAACGTCTTTAACTTATATATTGAAAATGTGCAAAAATAACAAGTTATTTGTCATCCTATCGTATATCTGATTGTAGTTTCATTGTCTCCTTTAACAACAATCAGATTCATGTGCAAGACTCGTTCGATGCTTTGATTTCAGTATGGGAGTTACTTGCTACATTTTAACGTGGATGGCTTTTAGAATTTTGTCAGTTTATTCTATATGCAGATTTTTTATTGCTTGATTAAGATACAAATTTTTATTTTTTTGTTCAGTTGTATTCTTAGCATTCTCGACATAATTTTTCTTCGTCAATTTTATACATTAACTCATTTTAATGTTTTTAATTAATCCCCGTGCATCGGACGGGTGAGTTACTAGTATAATATAATTTTATGATAAATTTCGTAATCCAATAATAATATAACACATGTTATATTTTATATGCAAAATATAAATAACAAAGTGTCAAGTAAATTAAAACCTTAGAAACTATGAATTGGTATCAACAAATTTATGTTGTAATTTTTTGTTATAAGTAAATATATGTTTCATTTTGCTGTTTCTATATATGTTTTTATTTCTTGCGTTTTGTCGAACTCTCTTTTGGATTTTCTTTCATTTTCCTGCAAACTAAAAATAGAAAACTATTGTAAAAATTTCCATTATATCCGAATATTGAACATGATATTTATAAACTAATGAAATTTCTGAAATTTCCAAAATTCCGGAGATTATGAGGCGTTATGAAATTGGAATGAATTTTTGCACACCGATTAATTGTTTGGAATGGAATTTGGAACTCCTTTGTTAATTCCAAAAATAAAATTGGAAATTTTTCAAAAAAACCATTTCCGATCGATTCCGTCCGATTTCCACCCCTAATCAAAATTTTCTCAATTCATTAATTAGCTATTAGTTTAAGAGCACATTTTAATATATATTTTTGTTCAACTTTTCCTTAAGTTTAATAATAACATTTTAATATATTTTAGACGATAGTACAAAAATATCCCTTGTTGAAATGTACTACTTATACAGAAAAGAAAAATATTATTTCTCATTTTCGTTTATTCAAGACCAAATAATTAAAGAAAAGAAAAAACTCCATCTACCCTCAAAACCAACCGTCGGGCTACCCACCACCGCACAATCGCCGCATGACCGCCGGACTTCTACACCGCCACCCCTGCCGGAATTATACACAACTGCCACCACCCATTCACAACCGTTATTGTTCTATCGAAACTTATAAACAAGAGTTTTAAATTTTTGTTGAAATTGATTTTTAAATTTGTTAATACAAGCATTATAGAAGATTATTTTATAGATATGAATGTTAAGCATTGAATGTTCGTTCTGTTGTAGGATGCACATGATTTAGGTGAATTTTGAGTAAAATTCGTTGAGTTTAGACGCAGGCAGTTTTCGATATGTACACGTCGAAATTTAAGAAACTTTCGACAGGTCCATGTCATTTTTTTTATAAATTGCAAAAGAATAAAATTAAAATAAAAACCGACAAGTGCATTTTAGAAATATGAGTTTTTTTTTTTTTCCAATATTGACACATACATGTCGGTTTTTGTGAATAAATTTCGACGCATTCTTGTCGGAAAAACACAAAATATTGCATGTATGTGTCGAAAAAGTGTAACTATTTTGAAAAAATATCTTGAAAACCAAAGAAGAAAAAAGAAAGAGGGTTATTGTGAAGGAGAAGGTTTTTGAAATCAAAGAAGAATGATATTTTTCATATATGTGTACTACAAATTTTTATTCAGGGTATGACGTCATTATCTATTCATTACCTATTTTTATTTTGATAATATTAAAATGAAAAGGAATTGATATTTATTTTAGCCGTCCACTAATTTTAACTCAACCGTGTCAAATTATTTGTACTTTTATATTATATTACAATGTTTTGGAACACCGCATTGTGAGCAAAAAATATTCAATAATAGGGGATTACTGAAATACCAAATGCAGAGATGGTTGAATTGAGGCCATTATTTATGGCATTTTTAAATTGCAAAAAAATATCACTTAAATTTAATGAATCAAGCTTATTTGCTTTATTTTCTTCAATTGATAAGTAAAAAAAAAATCGGTTAATTAATTATCTTTGGTAATAATTGACCGTATATAAGATTTAAGCAACTTTAGATTTGAGACACAACGATGACTTGTAAACTAAATTATATTTCTAAATAATATATGCTTTCAAGTTCAATTTGTTTTGTTAAGATTTCTCTTAATACTGTTATATTTCGAAATAAGTTTCTTCAATTACTATTAATATTTCTATAATATTTCAAATGTTGTTTGAATTTTATACGATAGATTTTCTTGCAAATATAATTACTGATTAGAAAGAATAAATTTGATTCACATTCTTCTCTTAATGCATTTTTTTGGAACACAAAAATAAGACTTGGTTAGGTTCTTTCGGGGGATTTTTTAGTATTTTCTAAAAATCGCATGTGTTCGCGAGATTTCAGGCGAACTCGGTATACTGAGTTCACGTTAACTAACCGCGTTAACTAACCCGAACTCAGTAGAACGAGTTCACCTGGAATCACGCGAACACATGAATTTCAAATTTTTTTTATTTATTTTTGCAAAAAATCGATAAATTAATTTTGAAATAAATTTTAAAAAATCGCAAACTGAAGCACTCGTGTGGATCTACATGAGCTCAGTGGACTAAGCTCGTGTAGAACCACACGAGCTCTACATTTTGAAGAATTTCACTTTTTTTTATTTGCTATATTCGTAATCTACTTAACATAACAATCATAAAAACATAAGAACTATATCCGATTTGTTATCGTCTCGGTCGGGATTTAAGACTCTACCTCCAAAAAATTTGAGAAAGTTTGGGTGTAAGTTTAGGATTTTAATTTTTGAAAAGTGGCAAAAAATAAAAGTGCCTGCTAACTGTAGAACGTGGCCTTGCACATATCATTTCAGTATTATTATTATTAGGTGTGTCCTACTCCTACCCTACCTGATAAGCAGACAAATATAAATGTTAGTAATACGGACTGAATTTGATTCGACTGGTCATTGGTCCTATTTTTAAGGTACAATAAATTTATGGGTCAAATATGGGTCTATTAGATATAACCCCCTTAAACATTCAAATAATAGGGGTAGACCCAAATTTATATTTGTCATTTTGATAACAGCCCAAACTTTTCATAATTACATAATTACCCTCAATCAAATCCCACAAAACCCGTTACTTTACCTTTTGAAATAAAATCAAATCCCTTCCTATTTTCCCGTTAAATACTATCATCCCAAACCCACTATCGAATAAACTGCAAAACCTCCCAGAACAACTTCCCGGTACGGCCGATTGAAAGGGGAAGACGTCTGCACTGCCGTGAAACGACGATTTTCGTGCACTCCGAGCAAGCTGTCGTAGGTACATCGTCGCCACTCCCTGAATCGCTATCATCCATCAATTTGTTAATATGTTTTGGCTAAATCGACTATCACGTTTGTGTAATTGCAGATCTGTTATAATCGCATACCGAATTCGAGCACTAAATCAGTAATATTGCAACAATTGATGGGCAGGACATCCACCAGAAGTGATATCGTCGTTGGCCGCCGCCGTCACCGCCGCCGTCGCCGTCACTGCTCCAATCTAGGGTTACTCAAATCTAGGATTACTCAAATCTAGGGTTTTGATAATTCTTCGGCCCATAGTTGATTAACGAGATGCATAGTCGAATTACATCTGTATTAATATACTATCCCATATCATTTAATAGACTATCCCACTGGTATAATTTTACTATGGATCTCGTTAATCGACTATGGGCCGAAGAATCATCAAAACCCTAGATTTGAGAAGTGACGGCGGCGGATTTGTGTTTTAAAATTAATAGACTATCTCATATCTTTTAATAGACTATCCCATGTATCTAATTCGACTATGGGTTTAGTTAATTGACTGTTGGAAAAATAATAATATATATGGAAACTGAATAATATGTTTGTTTGAAATACTAATCAATTAGGGTAATTTTCCTTATTATATGAAAACGATTAAGGTAAATAATAATATATATGAAAAATAATAATATATATGGAAACTGAAAATATGTTTGTTTGAAATACTAATCAATTAGGGTAATTTTCCTTATATCATGTAGACTATCTTATTGATCTAATTCGACTATGGATCTCGTTAATCGACTATGGATCCCGTATTATTCAACCACATAGTATATTAATAATTTCAATATAGTACATTGATCTGCTATGATAGTATATTACGGTTATAGTAGTGATATGAATTGTGTTACAAACAATATACCACTGAAATGACAAGAACATTGAGAACAACACCAACGTAAAGTATTCCAATATAACCAATAAAATAGTACATTAATAATCTCATAATTTCAATCTAGGGTTTTGATAAAATACATAAAACACATCATAACACAATCAAACCAATATGTCGAGTTAAAACTCTAGTACATTAATAATCTCATAATAGTATAATAAAATGATAATGGTAGTATCATACGGTATTCATAATAGTATACTACTGTATTACAACGGTTTAAAACTTAACCGAAGTTACTGAGCCATTACATCGTAAACACCTCTTTATAGCAACCAACCCACCAAACCTCAACAAAATCCGTACGAAATTCGCCATCGAAAAAACCTAAAATCATGAAACAAAATTAAAAATGCAGAATACTAAAAAATGATTAAATAGACTGCAAATACATTTGAATGACAATACATTAATATCATCAAAAATAAACTTAAAATGCAAAATCCATACGCTAATTTAAAAAAGACTACGAACTATATTTTAATGTACTACCCAGCACACTTAAATCGGCTGTTATAAACAAATAAACCAACTATCGATCGGGATCAAAAATATGAACTCGACCACAGCGGACAATTATTCCGATTATTGCATAAACCAACTACGAAGCTTATATAAAACAACTCTGGTCCGATCTGCGTGAACCATCCTCTTCTAACTATGTCAATCCTCTTCCAAACAAACATCATCCGCCAAAAATAACGATGTATATATTAATATGATACGACATTAAAAATGCAGAATACTAAAAAATATATTAATATGATCAAAAATAAACTTAAAATGCAAAATTCATACGATAACTTAAAAAATACTACGAAATATATTTTAATGTACTACCCAGCGTCCTAAAATCCGCTGTTATAAACAAATAAACTAACTATCGACCGGGATCAGACTCATGAACTCCACGACAACGGACAGTTATTTAAATTAATGCGTAAACCAACTACGATGTTCATATAAAACAACTCTGGTCCGATATGCGTGAACCATCATCATCTAACTCTGTCAATCATCTTCCAAACAAACATCATCCGCCAAAAATAACGATGTATATATGACGGAATACTTTTGTTAAAAAACGTTTTACTTAATAGAATCAAGTATCAACACAACTCTTAAAAATTTCTAACCACCGTAATCGACAATCCTAGACATTGAGCGAAAAATAAAAACGAATAACGCATTCATACCCGGTTAACAACGTCCAACAACGAACGCTCAAATTCGATCATATTTCAACGACGGTGCAGAAATCTTCAAAGACGATAAAAAACCACTGGAACGCTGAAGAGAACCTTCGAAAAATATTGTACACGATTTGATATAACGGCCAATGATCTCACGTAATTTTATTCCGTGATTTTAGGCAACGTATCAGCAAATCTCAAATCACGTAGTAAAGGAAATAAATGCCGTTTAAAAATAAAACAGGGGTATTAAAGGAAAATTATATAATATATTTTGCCAAGTTGGCAAAATTGGGTCTATCTCAAAAAGGGGAAAAAAAATTGGATCTACCTCATTAAAAAATATGAACAAGGGGTTATCCCTAATAAACCCTATAAATATTTACAATCAATTGTTTGTATCCACGTTTTTCTAGTTTCTCAATTTGTAACGTGATTTAAATTTCTCAATTGGGTACGATAACTATTTTTGGAATTGGGTCCATTTCGCATTTACAACATATTGTAGGTAGGATGTGTGGTTATCATATTATCAAAAGAATGTGTGGTTATTAGATATGAACCACAGAAACTTCAACTTCTCAACACCTGTCGGACACCTTACGGGTTATTTTGCAATTTCTAAATAATTTTGATTGGCAATTTTTCAAATATTTTTGTTGTTCCTCAAATTATTTACATGATTTAGTGGTCAATTGCAAATTAATAGTTGATAATAAATTTTTTTTGACTATGTTTGTACAAAAATATATAAAAGGAATTGATATACAAATAAAAACTTATATATGTTTATTTAGAATATTTAGAAATACCGTTCTATACTTTTAATATTTACACGTTTCCCCCAAGTTCTCGTATCCTCATTTACGGAACATGTTGTTTACCCGTACTCGTTTCTCCGTTTCCCCGTATCGCCGTTTTCGTGTCCGTGCTACATAGGTTATGAGCCAATTATCCGACTGTCGATTAGGTTATTAGGGCATCTGGGTCGATCATGCAACTCAATGGAGTAATAATTAATGGGGTTTTTGTGCATAAATCACTGACCAACCATCATTATTATTCAAGCTTCATGTGCTATATCTATTTAGTCAATAAGCCCATCCTTTTAATATGTATTATAAATAAAGAAAAAATTAATGTATATGACAAAATTACCCCAAACCTTTTATACTCAATTGCTACTTGTAACTCCAATTTAATCAATTTTGACCATAAGAATACAATTTTAACAATAACTATAAACACAATAATATTACTGTCAACCACAACAATATTATTATTTTTTTGGGTTTTTTGTTTTCTTTGAGTTGCTGATGGAGTAACATAAGAATATTATTGTCTACTATTGTAATATTACTGTAGTTGACGGTAATATTACTGTTGTTACAGAAATATTACTGTCAACCATAATTCTTTTGGCTTTTTATTATGTTTACATTTGTTGAACTGTCAACCTATTAATATTACTCTATTACAGAATAATAATGACTTTTGTTGTGTTAATATTATTGTGCTAAAGATTAATATAGCAATATTAGGCCCCGTTTGGTCGCCAAGATAAGCCATGCTTAACTAATCAGTTGGACTTAATTTGATATATGTTTGGTATCCTCAATAAATTTCCGGGTCGACCCACCAAAATTATATAACTGATATGGGTAATCATAATTAGGCCCATAAGCTAATTAGGATTAGGCCCAAAATTACTCTATTTTATTTAATTGTGTGTGAAAACTCAATTAGCATACATTTTACCCTTAAAATGACAACATATTGTCCCACATCGGATTTCTACAAAAGTTCTACCTACTCATCCACCTGTAAACGTATGTTTCATTTCACATAAGAAGGTACACTCTAATTTGGCAATTAATTATTATTATTTGCTTATATTATTACATCTTCTGACTTAAGCGTCGGAGGATAATCGTAGGGCCAACCCCGGCGTGTCATCTAGTATTTTAATTGTTTTGTAGGTTAACGAACGGTGCAGTCCCTTCGACTACCTCGGACACGTGGCAGTAACTCTCGGCATTCTCTACCTTTGTGGGCTCAAGGACTCTTGGGTTGCCCAATTGGCATTTGAGCAGCATCATTTTGGCGCCGTCTGTGGGAATGCAAACTCGATCACGTGACACGGGGGAGGTGGTCAAGGTAGTCTCAATCCGCCTCAACAAGGAGCCGGCGGCGGGATCCCGGATCCGCCTCGAAGAAAGAGGATGGCGGGAGCAACTAGCACTGCGGGACCTTCAGTGTCGATCATCCAGATGACGGCGGAAGAATTGCAAGCCGTGATGGACGAGACCGCGGCCAAGGCAGCAGCTTGGCCAGCAGCGGACGCAGTAGCTCAATACATCAGCGCTCAGAGCCATAGTGATTTCGAAGAGCCGATTCTGTCATAAAGCGATCCCACGGATCCCGCTCACGTCTATGTGACTCCGCCCATCGTAGAACTCCACGACTCTGAGGAAAGGGTGTCGCTTAGCGACCGAAGCCTTTCTTCAGAACGGGCTCGCCGAAGGTATGCTCAGCCCCAGTCGCATATTATAGCTCAGCCTCAGACCAGGCCCCTCGAGGAGAAGCACGTGGCCGATCACCACGCCCCTTAAGGCACATAAAAACACATAAGGTGATCAAGTTCATGCACTTAATAAAACAAGTAGAAGAAATAATTCGGAATTAAAACTTGCATAAAATCATAGAATTGGGTTCATAAATCCCACATAGAGTTCCAAATAAAATCCTAGAATTAAAGACTTAGCTACTCGTGATTCTTATGATAAAAAAAATAAAAGAAATAAATTAAATAAGAAAAACTATGCTTGAGTCTTCGTTGATCTTCGTTCCTCGCGTATTGTGGTGTAAAATTTCGTTGCTCTTGAAATTGCGTAAAAAAAATCCCCAATTGTGTGTTTGGCTTGGTCTTATATAGGGTGAAAAACTTGGGCAAGAAGGCAGTTTCCTTGTGCAATTAGAATCCCTTTACTGCGCTGCCTCGGGGTCTCGGACGGCCGTCCGAGCTTTAAATCTTCAAAATTTTTATTTTTTCACTTTTGGCCCATATTTTCTCCAAAATTGCAGTTTTGACCCCATACTTTTCCAATTCTTCAATTTGTACCTAAAATACAATAAATCAACTTTTTAAGCACCAATTATCGTTAAAAACACACCAAAAGCTCAAATAAAAAGGTACAATAAAGTGTAAAAATATACACTTAACACACTCTTAATTAATGAACTCTTAAATAATTAACTGAAAAATAATACAAAGATATTTAAGTAATTTTCTTTGTTTTCTGCTATAACCTGCAAACATTATTATTTTTTTTGAATATGTGCGCATCAACAAAACACATACATATAAAATTGGACGGAGGAAGTATCTTTTTAGAGAGTTTTCCTTGTCTAAAACTATTTGACATTTTAAAATTTCAATAAAGTATTAATTGCATTATTTTCAATTTTACCCTTTATTACTCTTAATTAATTACTCGAAAACAATTATTACTAAGGATATTTTAGTAATTTTTATGTCATGTACTATAAATATAATTTATGCGTATTTATAAATTTTCTTAATATGTACGCAACAATCTAAATCAAATTAAAATATTGCAATTATCTAATTCTACTATTCTCACCATAGCGAACCAAGGTAAAATATTTTGATCGTAACATCTTTCAAATGAAAATCGATTGATTCAAACTAAGTTGAAAAATCAATAATTATTGAAGAATGAAGATACATTCAACTCTTGTTCTCCAATTTTTATGAAAGTCAAATTGCGTCACTATCAAAATATATATAAATTGCAATTTGCAATTGTATAACTTTCATGTTACATCGTAATTTACCCCTACTTAAAAAAAAGTATACAAATGCCAATATTCCCATTTTACCCCCGAACTCTCTTTATAAAAGAGACGCCCCCATCAAAGTTGGAACCATCAACCAAGATTTCTATTTTCCTTCACCCATTCATTATATTCAATTTAATCATGAAAGTGAATATAGTTAGCACCAAGTTAATAAAACCATGCACCCCAACTCCTCAAAGCCTTAGAAATCACAAGATATCTTTCATAGATTATCTTAACCCTCCAATGAATGTTGGAGTCATTCTCCTATATGACAACTCAATATCACCAAACAATCCAAAACAAACAACAACCCATTTTCAAGAATCACTATCCAAGATTCTACCCCAATTCTACCCACTTGCCGGAAGATACATCAAGAAGGATCACTCGGTCGACTGCAATGATTCGGGTGCGGAATTTGTAGAAGCACAAGTTGTTGACGATGATGTGACGCTAAGTGATGTCATTCTTACATCCAAAAGAGAAGTGAAGCTTCTAAATGATTATTTCCTCCCACCTAAATTTCACCAAGTGGACGAATCTCCCACCGACCCACTCCTCTCGATTCGGATCACAAGGTTCAAGTGCGGTGGGCTCGTTGTCAGCGTCAGCGTTTCTCATAGAATTTTCGGCGCGTCTTCCGTTGGGACATTCCTCGCCATTTGGTCGAACGCCAACAAAAATCCAGGGATGGTGAGGAGCATCAAAATCCGACCGAGTTTCGACACGCCGCCCGAGTTTTTTCCGGGCAACTACATTAGTCGAGGCAATTCTATAAAAATGTGTTGGGATCCCAACATCGTCGTCAAAAGGTTTTCGTTTCACAAGGAAGCTATAACGAGCCTGAGATCGAAATTGAGGTTGCCAGAAAACTCGAGAGTGCGCGTGGTGTCCGCGGTCATAGCGGATGCCATGATCGGAGTGGATCGGGCGAAGCAAAGCGGGAAATCGAGAGCTTGCCTCATCGCTCAGGCGGTCAACATGCGTAGGAGAACATTTGCGCCTCTTCCCAAACATTCTTGTCGGAATTGGTTGATTTTGTCGCCCACACGGTGCATGATTCCAAACACCGTTGTTGGGAATAATAATAATATTCAAGAATTGGTTGATATTCTAGGCGACGGTCTTGAAAAACCGTCGTTGATTGTGCTGAAGTATTTTCTCCGACGGGTCGGGATGTGAAAAGTATAATTATGGAGCCTTTGGTGAATGTGAGGGGTGTTGCGCAAAGCGGAAGCGAAAACATAAACGAGAACACTCTCACACAAATATGAAATCAAACGAGACACGAAATTTACGTGGTTCGGAGAAATAAACTCCTACTCCACGGGTGGCAGCCAAGTATTTCACTCAAATACTACAAGAGGATTACAAAGTGTTTCTCTCAAGATTTCCTCACAAGTGTCTCTCAATTATTCTCTCTAATTTTCTGCACACTTCTACAAACACTATACAAGTCTATTTATAGGTACAACAATGGATGAATCTAGATGAAGTTGGAACACCAACCATCAATCTTGGGAGCATCAATCATCACTTTGACTAGGGTGTTTGAATGGGAGAGAAATAGACACATTCTAGAAAACTTTAGCCAATTCCAACAATCTCCACCTTGGCGAAAGTTCTTATAATCCTCGTAACCGGCTTTGGCTGCCACCAAGTGCACCGGCTATCCAATGTTGATCAAGTCCAAGCAATGGATCAACTTATCTCGAGTAACCACTTTCGTTAACATGTCGGCGGGATTTTCGGCGGTTCCAATTTTCAGCAATCGAACATCACCTTCTTCAATAATTTCTCGAACAAAGTGAAAACGAATGGCAATGTGCTTGGTTCGGGCATGATTAACTTGATTCTTCGACAAACAAATAGCGCTTTGGCTGTCACAAAACACCTCAATGTGTTTTTGAGCAAGTCCCAAATCATTCACCAAACCATGCATCCAAATAGCTTCCTTGAAAGCTTCAGTAACCGCCATGTATTCCGCCTCGGTAGTGGATAATGCAACGGTGGATTGAAGAGTCGAACGCCAACAAACGGGTCCACCTGCCATAGTGAACACATATCCAGTAGTGGATTGCCGTTTGTCTAAATCACCTGCATAATCCGAATCCACATAACCGACCACAAGTTTATCAAGCTCGAGATTTTCTTTTCTTTGGAATTTTAGACCAACATCGATGGTTCCACGAAGATATCGAAGTATCCACTTCACAGCTTGCCAATGTCCCTTTCCCGGATCGTGCATGTACCGGCTAACCATACTAACCGCATGCGAAAGATCGGGCCTCGTACAAACCATCGCGTACATCAAGGCTCCAACAACATTAGCATAAGGGACATTTTTCATGTATCTTCGTTCTTCATTAGAATTAGGGAATAAAGAAGCACTTAACTTGAAATGAGAAGCGAGCGGAGTACTTACAGGTTTAGTCGAGCCATTGTTATCAAATCGCTGCAAAATTTTCCTCAAATATTGAGATTGCGATAACCAAATTGTACCTTTGCTTCGATCCCTCTTGATTTCCATTCCAAGTATTCGTCGAGCTTCGCCCAAGTCTTTCATTTCGAATTCCTTTTTGAGTTGATCCTTCAATTTATCTATCTCCACCTTGCTCTTGGATGCAATTAGCATGTCATCCACATACAAGAGCAAATAAATGAATGAACCATTTTGGATTTTCCGGAAGTACACACAATGATCAAATTGGCTGCGAGTGTACTTGTGCTTCACCATAAACTGGTCAAAACGCTTATACCACTGCCGAGGAGATTGCTTGAGGCCGTACAAGGATTTTCGAAGTTTGCAAGCCCAATTTTCTTTCCCTGCAACTCGAAATCCATCGGGTTGAGACATGTAGATTTCCTCGTCCAAGTCTCCGTGTAAAAAAGCCGTTTTGACGTCAAGTTGGTAAAGCTCGAGGTCGAATTGAGCTACCAACGCCAACAATATTCGAATAGACGAATGCTTTACAACGGGAGAAAAAATCTCGTTGTAGTCGATCCCCTCCTTTTGAGCATATCCTTTGGCCACCAAGTGAGCTTTGAATTGAATTCCGGGCGTATCGTCTTTCTTTGCATACACCCATTTGCAGCCGATAGCTCTCTTTCCCTTAGGAAGTTGTACCAACTCCCAAGTTTGATTCTTTTTCAAAGACTGCATTTCTTCGTTCATGGCCTCCTTCCATTTCGAGCTTTCGGAACCTTGAATAGCATCTTTGTAGCTATTCGGAAGACCGTCGACTACCGGAAGAGCAAATGCAACCATATCGTCAAATCGAGCTGGCTTTCGAATTTCTCTCTGAGGTCTATTCCTTGCAATAGATTCAACTACTTTGCGCTCTTGAATCTCTTCCTCGGGCCTTTGCTCCACCTGCTCGAAATTCTCCTCCACCTGTTTGGAGTTTTCTTCATCTTCGATTTCGTTTTGGCAAGATTCCTCTACGGGAATAACAGGCACCGGAGCAATTGTGACCTTCTTAGATTGCTTAGGAACTTCATTTTCCTTATCGATCTTTTTCAATAGCATGGATGACTCGTCAAAAGTCACGTCTCGGCTTTTGACGATCTTCTTTGACTCGGGGCACCATAACCTATATGCTTTAACTCCTGTACTGAAACCCATGAAAATTCCTTTCTTGGCTCTAGGGTCAAGTTTAGATTCAGAAACATGAAAATAAGACGGGCAACCAAAAATATGCAATTGATCATAATCATTAACAGGTTCACCTGACCAAACTTCAAGTGGAGCTTTACCTCCGTTTGCAACTGTAGGTAACCGATTCACAAGGTGAACTGCGTAGTTTATTGCCTCCGCCCAAAATGCTTTGCTCAAGCCTGCTTGGGACAACATGCAACGAGCCTTTTGGACTAAAGTTTGATTCATTCTTTCAGCGACGCCGTTTTTCTGTGGATTTCCTGGAACTGTAAAGTGCCGAACAATTCCTTCTTCTCGACATACTTCAAGAAATGGATCATACTTGTACTCTCCACCGTTATCCGATCTTAATTTCTTGATTCTCCGTCCAGTTTGATTCTCCACCATTTTCTTCCACTCAAAGAAGATTTTCATGACTTCGTCCTTGTGGCTCATTGGGTACATCCAAACTCGTCTTGAGTAGTCGTCGATAAAGGTGACAAACCACCTTTTTCCTCCAAGAGAAGAATTTTTTTGTTGGGCCCCATACATCGGTGTGAACGTAGTCAAGGATGCCTTTAGTTCGGTGTATTGATGTGCCGAACTTTACCCTTCTTTGTTTGCCGAAAACGCAATGTTCACAAAAGCTTATTTTACCGGAGTTGGCCCCTTTAAGCACACCTTGTTTCAGCAAGGTTTGAAGCGGCTTCTCACCAACGTGCCCAAGTCGCATGTGCCAAAGTTTCGAGGTGTCGGGCTCCTTTGAATTTGCCACAGCTGCTTGTCCGACAATTGTCCTTCACTTAAGGAAGTATAGATTTCCTTTCTTGGTCTCTTTGAGCACCACCAATGCACCTCGGACAACTTTGAGAATACCATTGTGCACAGAGATGTGATAGCCTTTTGAATCCAAGACTCCGACAGAGATTAGGTTCTTTTTCAAACCAGGTACATAGCGAACGTCCTCGAGCTTTCGGACAGTTCCATGGAACATTTTTAATTGAACTGTGCCGATACCCTCGGTTTGACAAGTGTCGTTGTTGCCCATGTAAACAACACCGCCGTCGATCTTTTGGAATTCCGAGAACATATCTTTATTCGGGCACATGTGATGTGAGCACCCCGAATCTAAGATCCACTCGTCAAAGTTGCTGGCCGTAAGTGACACCGTTAAGGCCTCGTCTGTGTCACTATCTTCTTTTCGGATCAAATTTACTTTGGACTCCTTCTTTTTCATGTTCGGACAGTCCTTCTTCCAATGTCCCTTTTGTCGGCAATAGGAACACTCGTCTTTGCCAATCCTTTCTCGGTCTACGGATTTGCCCCTTGACTTCGATCGGAACTTCTCTCGGCTATCATTTTTCCGGAAAGTAGACCTTCCTCTAACTGTGAGAGCATCGGAGCCGGAATCTCGATGAGCTTGCTTGTCCTTCTTCCGTACCTCGTTATTCATCAAAGAATTACAAACATCATTAAAATTTATCTCAGTTTTGCCATGCAACAAAGTTCTTGTCAAATGTTCGTAAGACTCGGGTAAAGAATTTAACAAAAGTAAGGCTTTATCCTCATCGACTTTTTCAACATCGAGGTTTTGCAATTCCGTGATAATTTTATTAAAACTATCAAGATGTTCAACCATGGTCGTACCTTTGCAATAATCGAAGCGGAAGAGTTTCTTCTTCAAGTGGAGCTGATTTTCCACGCTCTTTTGCATGTATTTGGCTTCGAGTTTATCCCGTAGATCCTTTGCCGAGGTCTCTTTCATGAACGGGTATTTTTGGTCCTACCAAGACACGATCGAATGATCCCACAAGCTTGTCGGTTAAGCTTTGTCCAAGCCGAGTCGGACATATCATCGGGCTTCTCTTCGAGTGTGAGACCCAAGTCTTGCAAAACCAAAAGGTCTAGGACTTCTCCTTGCCAAATCCCAAAATTGTTTGTTCCGTCAAATTTCGAAACTTCAAAACCGGAACTAAAAATTTTCGAACCACGAATGGATTTGGAAGCCTCTTCGGTTTCATTTTTGTCTTCTGCCATTTCAGCAAATTCCACCCAAACAATGCTCCAATGGTTGTCCAAAGGCTTCAATCAAATACCTACCCCACCTGGATAATATGGGAATTAATGATTTGATGACAGTAAGATAGCAATCTTAATTGCTTCAAACAATTCTTTCCCCAGTAGCTTGCTGCGGTGATCGGAGAAAACAATTCTTCTACGTTGACTGTGTAAGTGAGTTACTCCAGTGATGATTGATCGAAAAAAATATTTCAGCAGTATTTTCGATTCGTCGAGACAAACGCAACACCAATCTTGGAAACAATTCCAAGCAAAAATCGGATACCCCAAGATATTCAAAACCTTGGAGCTCTGGTACCAATTGTTGCGCAAAGCGGAAGCGAAAACATAAACGAGAACACTCTCACACAAATACGAAATCAAACGAGACACGAAATTTACGTGGTTCGGAGAAATAAACTCCTACTCCACGGGTGGCAGCCAAGTATTTCACTCAAATACTACAAGAGGATTACAAAGTGTTTCT